CACTTCACCGTGTGGACAGACGGGAGGAGCCGGGGATCGAATCACGCAGAGATCAACAGCTCGTACAGCCAAGTGAGATATTTGATGCAAAGCAGCAGGTTCAGTCTTTGCTGCAGTTTTATTTCACTCTAAAGAAAAAGAAAAGAAAAAAGATAAAGATAAAATACTGATAAAAAGGAGACATCATCATCATCACCATCACCCAAGTCACCACCTCCTCACCTGCTGCCCTCTGGAGGGAGACACACGTCCTTAAAAACAAGGTTTTATCCAAGTGCCACTAGAGACTAAGCTGCTGAATATCAAGCTATAATAAGAAACAAATCCACATCCTGTAAACCTCCTCAAGGAACTCTCAAACACAGTCCTAGAGCGCCGTGGAGAAACAAGGATCCTCTATAGATCCCTCGGGCTCCTTTTAAAAAAGGAACCTTTGGAAGAAGATGAAAACCAGAAACCAGCCGCCTGAACCTCGGAGAACCCTGAAGTAACCCTGGGACCTCTTGTGGGACCGCTGGAACACCCTCGGGGGCTTACTACAAGACGCTCAGTGACCCCTGTACCACCCCGAAACCGCCCCCACAAAGAAACCCACGGGAAAGCTCAAGGAACTCTGAAAACCCCTCTGGGATCTTTTCAAAGACTTATTTTATAGTAACACATTGGATATGTTGTTCTATTTACTGCTTTTATTTATCGTTTTACTTACTGTAACTGTCCCATACCTTTTAATATGTTTCCTCTGACGTTTTCACTCCATCTGGTCGGTCTGTTGAGACCGAATGTATGGACCGGGGAGCTACAAATGAATTGCCCATGGGGGGTAAATAAAGTTGAACTGAACTGAACTGAGCTGCTCATGACAGAGGAGAGGGAAGACGTGGGAGCAGCCTGACCTCTTGTGGTGAGAAGGCGGAAGTGCAGCAGCGCCGTTATCATCATGTAATAACCTTCTCCATGTGTTCTGTGTCAGAGAAACGTCTGTAAATGATCCAAACTAAACAAAACTGGAGCGTCTCTGATGTTACACAAAAACTGCTTCCGCCAATAACTCAGCACAGAAGAAGAAAGTCTTTATCTCCCACAAAGGGCTCAGGGTGGTGGGGGGGGGGGGGGGTTCCTGTCTCTCACCTTGCAAGATGCAGAAAAGTCGATTCTTGGCTGCTGTTCAAACCTGTCCTTCCTCTGTTTAGATTTTACATCAAACAAAGTGAATCTTGAATTTGATTAGATGAGAATGTGTTTAACACGCGCGCGCGCGCACACGCGCACACACAGCCACAGACATCCAGCAAGTCTTTTCTGCGGTGGCTGGAGGCGAAGAGGGAGTTGGACTCCTCTCACTTCTGGATGATTCTCAAATATAACCACGTATATACACATTGCACACATCAAACAGGGTTGTTATTTTATTCTGTCACGTTATGATGGGATACAAGTGTGATTCTCTAATTGCAAACTGAGTAATGATTCGGCCTCTGGGTGGGGAAATTTAATTCAGCTTTATTTGCAGCTTGTGTTGATGTGGGAACTTCCCGTCCTGATACAAGTGAAAAATGATGAAAATAAAAATTCTTGGAGGTATATTTTAAACCTTTAACAAGGTCAAGCTGACAGACCACCATGCTTTTCCTTTTTTATGAACCCTTTGCTTCACATGCACACACAGACACACACAGACACACAGACACACATTTCACACTTCAGAGCTGCCCAGTAAAACTCCTCCAGTGTCGGGCCGACGGCAGCGGAGAGAAAAAAAACAAAAACACCCGAAAAAACAACCAGGAGTCAAAAAGACTTTATGTGAAAACTCAGCGTGGTTTGGCTGCAGTGGTTCAGTCTGAGGTCGTACAATCGCATGCAATAACAAAATCAGCCGCGACGAGGCTCTGATGAAGACTCGTTTGGCGAGTGGGATAATTCTTGATAAAATAAAATGGGAAACAAGAGAGAGAGTTTTGAGTTTCTGCTGCCTCTGGTTTATATTCAAGTCATAATTGTGATACTGTAATTTAAATTTACTGCAATTACTATATTCAAGTTTCTTCAAATGAGTCAAACTGTGATGTAAAAAGCTCCAGTTGCTCTGATTGCATCGGTTGAATTCAGACTCTGTTCCAGACAGATTCTTTGCTTGGATCACATGACTGTCCCTGAACCCGACAGGACGAAGGTCTGAGCGGTTCCAGACCTTTTGGGTTTTCACAGCACGGCGTTTTCTGGCGTTTCATTACAGGAGAACAGGTGTGATTGATGACGTTAAAAAAACCGGCCGCATTCCATTTCGGTGAGCTGGTTCCTGCCCCCCCCCCCCCCCCCCCCCCGGGGNCCGGTGCGTGGTGCACGCTCCCTCGCTGTCATGGTCTACTGGTTCACTTTGATGGGAGTGAGTCATTATTAATGAAATGTATTTTATTATCTGCTTTCTTCCTGCTGTGACATGTCAGAAATGTTTCCTGTGAGAGAAAAGAAAGAGTTATCTTGTCGACCTGGACGATCAAGTTTGATCATGTAACTTGATTCTTGATTCTGACTAATTCGATTTATAGAACTTGTTTTTAAGAATTGGACACGATCCGAATTTATGAACCGTGAACAAATACTTAATAATATTTATAAATATTATAATACTTATTAGTTTTCAAAGTAAAATAGTTCACCTGTGTTAATTAAGGATACAGGAAGTATTCAGTGGATACACGTCACAATAATTTACTTTTTTTTGGCCAAGAGGGGGCAGCAGAAACAAAAGCGGTCAACAATATCATCATCATCATCATCATCATCATCATCATCAGGTGTTAAGTTTGTGTGGGGGCGATGTTAGCAAGAGGTTGCTTTTTTTACTCAGTAGTTTCCCGCTGTGACCAAAAACAACGCTACGAGATCTTTCACATTGTGTATAAAAATAACAATCATCGCTGCTTTAGAGAAATCGTTCAGCTCTGTGGGAGAAATCTGCTTATTTGCATTTCTTTCAAAAGGTGAGAGGGTCGATACTGTGCGTGTACAGAGCTGGTCGTACTGCAGAGAGTAGAACTACTGCATCTGGTGCACGATCACAGCTGAGTCGACGAGGTGAAGGAGATGCCGAAACTCAAACTTCAATAGTCTCGATATTAAATCAGGCGCAAACAGCGAACGCGTTTCAGTCATGGCCATCATCAGCGTAGGAAACAGACAGTATATATATATATATTATATATACCTATAAGCAGCTGAGGTTGGAACATGATGAGCTTGATGAGGTGCATCTGTGAATGAACCACCGGAGGGCGAGCGGCTACATGACATCAGCAACACAACAACAAACAAACAGCTAAACAGGAAGCACAACACACACACACAATGTTTCACATTTCATACAGAGAAGAAAAGACATTCCTGGAGAACGTCCATGCCTAGGGATGTCCCCAAACACAGGGAGGCGATTAGCCTAGCTTAGCATAAAGAGAGAAGTTCTTCCATCTCTGGTTACAGCGCTGGTTTCTCCATACGGTCAGTGAACGCAAGGTTCGCAAGAAGTTTCTCTGCAGGCGCAGTGTTACTAAACCTAACAACGCCACCGTGACACGACACCAGGAAGTCACTAGCAGCTAAAGCACATAACACCCTTTAAAAATGACAATTTATACATTTTTGTTGTGTAAGTATTTAAAAAACAAGAACTCATTGGTTACAGTTTGCTTCAGACGCATTTGTAAAACTTCAAACTGTCCCTCAACGCTGAAGGTTGCCTCTTCTGCTGAGGTGGGATCATTTCTCATTTCTTCATGTTTCATTCATTGTTTACTTTCTCTGATCCACATTTCCTAACGTCCCGCGAATAAAAACACACGCCATTAATATAAAGCTGAAAGCGTTTGGCCGCAGCGCTCTCTTGGACCGCACCGTGCTCGTCATGATCTTAT